GTTTTTTCCTCCTCTCTGCCCCAAATAGGGCTCCACATTTGTCCCCAAATGTGACACCTCTTTGAATACAAAAGGAACAATATGTCTCAGTTCTACTTCCTATCCTTTTGAATGCTTCAGGGGGAAAAGATGGTTTTATCTTTGTTATCTTTTGCCTAAAAGTAAGATGCACCAACACTCAGATTACAAGACCTTCATATTAAAAGCAATTAGGATTATGTAAACCTTTGTGTGGGCGGCACATAAAGTCATCTGCATATTTTACCATCTTAGATTTGGGACAAGTGATTTATTCTCAGCCAAGGCAATGACAGGTTGCAAGTTGGCCAATACTAAATATGTGATAACAGAGCAACAGGCTCCCTGTCAATTACTGGGTAACGAAACCTTCCCTGCCACCACCTGCAGACCTTTCGCAGCGCTTCCTCCATTCCCTGACAACTTTGCTCATCTGCTCAGAAAATTCTAACATATTCTACACTCTGTCTTCCAACTTTTTTTTTCAATTCTTTGCTAAGAATATTTTGGCAATCAGATGCTCTTCAAAAACCAACGAAAATATCCGTGTGTATTTGCTTCACCTTCTGTTCTCTACTCCTCTGTGTAGAGGATTGCTCTGCTGACACCTCAGCCCCCTTTCCTGGCAGTCTGTGAGCTCCAGGCGTTTGCATGTCAGTTGTCTGTCTGAGAGTGATGGGTCCTCCTGCCCTGACATTATTTCAAAGCACTCTTCTCTAAGAGTGTCATCTGTCAGTGTTCTAGGACAAGGGGTCCCTAGTTAAATAAGTTTGGGAAATAAATGCTGGATTAAGCAAATTGCATTGCTGCAGGATTTCTAAATTTCTAAATATGTTCTGACTGCGGGTAGGCACGTAGAACGCCCAGCAGTGCGCTCTGCGTGCCACTGCAGGCCACCTTTCCTAAACTTGCTGGCCTCAAAAACCCCTTCCCCAGCATATCTTGTGGAGCTGGTGTTCCACAGGATGCACTTGGGAAAACGCTGGCATGATGCAAGGGAAGTCACAGTGATGGGTGCTCAAATCTTGGATTCTTTGATATTAAATAAATGCCAGGCCCTGCCTTGCACAACTGTGGGTATTTCTCTCTCTCTCTTTTCTTTTTAATTAAACAGAATCATATTTTAAAAGTTAAAAGTAGTTCTCAGTTTTAAGGCATCCTGTGGTGAACGCTTTGGAGGCTCAGAATGATGTTTGCATTTGTGAATGCTGAGTTTTCTTAAAGCATACAGCTTGAAGACACACAGCTCTGGCGACTGGACTGTGCAGGGAAGTGCATGCCTTGCTAGAAATCTGGGACCCTGATGAATTCCTGGTCCTGAATTCTGAGCAGTTGAGGTGGCATTTGGAAATCTTCTCCCATTAGGCACTACCCTACTGCCTTGGGTGTGCAGAACACCTGGGTTCAGACCCCCGCAGAGACTTCCTGCTTGAGTCTTCCTGTCTCTTCTGGTGTCCTCCTCTCTGGTTAGAAACCAGTCTCCAAGCTCTCCACTAAGCTCAGAATGAATCCCTTTTGGCAGGTTTCTTCTATAATAAGGATTCCTTCTTATAATAATTTCCTGTTAAAAGAAAACTAACTTATGAAGAAAAAACCAGAAAATAAAAAAAATCAAAAATCAAAAAATTCTGTACGTGATATCTACTCTTTACCATTTTTTAAAAACAAAAGTAAAATATACTTTGTAATTTTGCATCCTTAAAAATTTTTTCATGTATTATCACGAGCAAGAATTATTCTTACTCTAATTCAAGAATGACAACCCACATTACAAAAAAACCCAAGTGATTACAGCCAGCTTTTCCAAGGACATAATGCCATGTAGTTACTGATGCTTTCGGTAAAGTAGAAATTCTTAAGAGTGGGGTGAGTAAGATTTAGAATATCTTTATTAATGTTTCTCATAATTATAGTCCCATGTGAGAAAAATTACACTTTGCTAAAATGAAAGAATTTTTCCTAATCTTTGTGGTGAGGTAGTATTTGGAGAGAATATTCTGTGATACTGAATCAATGATTAAGTGCCGAGCATTGACCTCTTTCATTAATTCGCATTGCTGTTTACATCAGGAGGACCGAAAAGTGCTTGGAAAGCTCTCAAGCAGTAGGCCTTGCCTGACTGACCAGCAGTGGCTGACCCAGCAGGATTGACGGAACAGCAGTGGGTGACAGGCGGTGGCTTAGGGGAGTGTGGCACGCGTGCATGCAGTCCTGGGAACTGGAGCTTTGGTACAAAGATCCTGAGTGAATTAAGTATTTTCCATAGAAGAATGCTGTAAGATGTGCCACTTGTTTTTTGGTTTCTTTTTCGGGTGACTACAGCAAACATATGCTTAAAGTGAATTCTTAAATTCGGGGTTCGTTTGGGGCTTTCAATTTCTTTACAGTCTGCAATGAATTATCATTTGCGCTGTATGCCTTTTTCATAAAAGCATTTTACATTGTACTGAAAAGATTACATTCTTTTGACTTTGGAAAAATATTTCCTGTTCAGTTGAAGCCATTAAAGCCCGTTACCATTTCACATCTGGAAGCCCCTGCCCCCGTCTGCCTTGCATCAACAGGGGAGCGAGTGTGGCCGAGGCCTCCGGCGCGTGCGTAAACCGCTCCAGACTTGTTTACTTCCCCAGGGCCCCTCCGCGCTGCCCCAACGCGCCCTTGTGGTTTGGGGGTGGGTGAAGGGCTTCCTTCCTCCCTGGGATGGAGGCGGGGTCTCGTGCCTCTGCGCGCCCCGCGCGCGCGTGTGCGTGTCCCTTCCTCCTAGGTTGGGCAGGGGGGGTCTCCCTTTCTCCGGGAGGATGGGCGTGGAGGGGGGTCTTCCTTTTCGGGTCCGGGAGGGGCCCTTTCTTCCTCCCTCCTGGGGGGTCTTCCTTCCTAGTGGTCATTGGGTGCCCCCTCCCTTCTCCCGCCTTAAGCAGCTCCTTTTTTCATTTGCACCCAGTTTTCTAGAAAGCTAACGCAAACATTTTCTTTGTAAGAGGGAAGTGGTGAGCTTTTGTTTTGGGGGAATTTTCCCACGAGGGAGGAGAACTAATTAAAACCAAAAGGTTGGAGAATTGCGGCCTTCTGGTGTCCCCCAGGCCCACGTGGGGTGCGGCAGACCCCTGCGCCCACTTCCAGGTTTTAAAGGGGAACCGAGCTTGGGTGCGGCCTGCTTGTGTGAGTATTGAGATATTCAGATATTTCTTTTCCCCGAGGGTTAATTTATGCCAGCCGGGCCCTCTCCCAGAGGCAGGCCCGAAGCACCCGCACTCTTAGATTTGGGGGCTCCCTGCCAATTGATTTTGCCGGGCTTCCTGCTGAGAAGACCCTGGAGGGACCCACCCCTGGGCCCGCTGGGCAGTAGAACCCGGAGGGACGTGGGTGCCGTGGGATACTGTCCAGTCAGTTCCTTAAGGGGGTCTCACAGCCTCAGCAGCGTAACCCGCAGGGGAAATGATTTCATGGTGGACCAGGAGTAAAGTACATTCATAGCATTTCTCTTGACCGCACGCGACCAGAACCAGTGCCAGGCAACCCTTGGCAGCCTGGGGGGGGAACCAGGCAGAGGCCTCCCTGGGCTGCCCAGCAGGCCCCTGGGCCCCGTGGTCTTGGGTGAGGTACCCCTCCCAATGCCCCCTGGGAAAACCGGGACGACCACAGTGTCCTCCTGGTCCCCCTGTCATGAGGGGTCCCAAGGGGCCAGCTTCAGCTTGTGGGTGGGGCTGGTTGATAAGGCTCTTCTGTCAACCCTCAACCTCGCTGGAGTGGACTGAAGGCCAGGGTATGACAAACGTCTCTCCCAACACAGAGGGCCAGGAGCAGAGAGTAAAAGTCAGAGTGGGATCTTTGCTTGCTTCTTAAGATGGTGTTCCTGGAGGCGTTGTGAGAAAGGTAGCTGTTGAAGTCGTTTTCATGGGACAAGCATGCAGCATGATTTGGGTGCCCCAGGATTGAAGCAGCCCTCTTTCCAGTTTGTTTTTCTTAATTTATTTGAACGTGCATCAAATGATTTTTCATACCTGTGTCCAAAAATTGAATAGCGGGAGAATGTATTTACTCAGCTCTTAGCCACTCTGTGTGTGCCCATGATGTTTTCACCAGGGAAGGCCAGGGGCAGGGGGATGGGCTGAGGAAGAGGAGGAGGAGCAGACAGCTGCTCTGGCAGCGCCCTCCCTGTCCCCCCAGGAAGAGCCCAGAGGTGAATCAGAGGTGGGGTCCACAGAAGGCAACACAGCCCCCTCCCACTCAGGACCATGCCAGCCAGAGGTCAGCCAGTGTCTCAGAGGAAAACCGACCACCGCATCCAGGCTGAATTGAGTGCTGTCAATTTATGTGATTATTTAAGGATATAATTTTCCTCTAAAAATGTGGTGATAAAGAGATGCTGAGGAAAGCCGGGAGATAACCTGCAAAATAATGTGTACAGTAGTCTGTGTATGGACGTGTAGTTTACACACAGTTTTACAATTTATACTAACTGGTGCGTTGCAACTCTTACTGAAGAGTGACCCAATCAAAGGAGAGGACTTGGCAAGTCTTATCAGCCTGCTTGGCAAATGTAAGCTGGCAGAATGATAACTCAAGCCAGAGTTATCATTTTGTTCAAGTTATCAAGGTTCTAACCAGTTAGCGTCAGCTCTCAGGGTACCTCCTTGTTCACGTGGCCGCCGTGGCTGGGACACCTGGAAAATACATGGGAAACCATTCTGTGATTTGGGTGTAGGGAAGGAAGTTTCCACAGCAGTCTGAGAGGGTTCCTGTTGAACCTCATATCTCCTTGGGCTTGGTGCCAACCCTCCCATCGGAAACGTCTTCCATTTTCTTTTGGTGCCTGCTACTACACCTTTTTCATTTTTTAAAAAATAGGTGAAGATATTAATTTTTAAAGCAAGTGTTCAATTGGGTGCTTTTTAAAAAAAAATCTTCAAAAAATAAGTGATTTTCCCTTTAACGAAAGAGTAAAACTAATGTCATTTCTTGCCTTCTTTTTCTCCTAACAGGCATTTACCCAGTGGATATTTTGGAAGATGATCCCGAAGGGCATCGGGAAGCAGCTCTGGCTTACTATGCCTCGCTTTGGGGAGAAGCGCGGCCCTCAGCAGAGGTTTTCTGTCTTCCCACTGGGGAGCAGGTATGTGATTGTCGTTGGTGGTGGAGAGCTCTTTAAAATCTAACTTATTAGAAAGAATGTTAGTGAAAGAGTATTACAGATTAAAAAAAAACTTTGTGGAGTGAATACTAGAATAATTCCACTTTGAAAAGCAGAAGGAATCCTGGATTGGGAGTCCTAAGTCCAGTTCTGCAAGGCAGTGAGCCAGACAGCCTGTTGTGACTCCCATGCCTACTACTTACTAGCTGTGTGACCTTGAGCAAGTGTCTTTTTTTTTATTAATAATTTAATTAATTTATTTTTTCCCCCAAAGCCCCAGTAGATAGTTGTATGCCATAGCTGCACATCCTTCCAGTTGCTGTACGTGGGACGCGGCCTCAGCATGGCCAGACAAGTGGTGCATAGGTGCGCGCGCGCCCGGGGTCCGAACCGGGCCACCAGCAGCAGGGTGCGCGCACTTAACCGCTAAGCCACAGGGCCAGCCCTGAGCAAGTGTCTTAACCTCTCTGGTCTTGGTATTCTCATCTCTAAAATTGGGATAATAATATAGTTTACCACATACTGTTGTTACGAGGATTAAATGAGAGACTGTGTGTAATGCCTGGCTAGGCCTTAGTTTCCCCATTTGTAAAATGAGGGGATTGATTGGTCTTTGGTCTCTAAGGTTTGGCTCAGTTCTAAAATTTCGTGATTTGGAATGAAGTTATATCAATTGGAATGAAGTTATATTAATTATGATTTTTAACACTGATAAGATTGCATTTTGATTATGGATTGGAAGAGAACAGAGAGAAATGAAAAGTGTTTGTTAGGACAGTGGGATTGTGGCTGAAATTTTAATATTGTGTTACTTTTAAGGCCCCCTCACTGTTAGTAAAAAGAATATGTGGTGAATCTTGGCCTATACCCAAGTCCGTCACCTTTCTTTCAGATTTGAGGCTGATCTGTTGAAAAAGACAAGATTTTCGTGTTTTATACATGTAAGATTTCACTCCTACGAGAAATTGTTGCTATCTGGCAGGAAAGTTGGTTTAGGAAGACAGGGTTTTGTTTCACTGCACTGAAGTTGTTCCAGAGTTAGTTAAAACAGTGGCTTGTACGGTTTATATAGCGTGGCTTCCTTGAGATGTTGGTGATGCTAGTTTGTAATCAGCTCCTAGAAGAATCCAGTTCCCATGTGTGATTCCTTATTGTTGATCTGCAGAGGGAGGTGGCTGTGCTCACGTGCTGGCAGCGCCCCCTAGTGACAGTTAAACCAGAAAAGAAAGCGAGTGCTCGCTCAAGACTGGGGGCTTACTCCTAGGAGCTTTGGGGTAGGATGGAGTGTGGGGAATGCCGGGTAATCTGAGAAGTGTGGTGAAATACAAGAGTTAGCCCTGAAATACTTTAGGGTACAGTTTCCAGTCATATGCTTTTATTTCATGCTTATTTATGGATTACTTAAAATGAATATGTAGTATGCTCAGTGAGTGAATAATTTTAGTGTTATTAGCAAAAACATAATAAAATAAGACAGTTACTAAAATTAAGTTGTTTTAATGTTATAGAAATGCTGGAATGGCTTTATACTTATTCTCTTCCCCCCCTTCTAAAAAAAGAAGGTTTTGTGAAAACAATCATTTGGTTTCCTATCATTTTAGCAGTTAATTAAGAAATGGTAGCAGTTGTCTACCAATTAGCAGGTCAGAATACTCTAATTTGGGATGCTTTTGGACCTCCTTATCACTTTTAGTAAATTTAACTTTTCTATTTGAATACAGAGAATTTTTTCCGAATTTTCTTTCTTTTTTAAAAAAAGAACTGGTTTGAGGATGTATCACACCACATCCCTCTCGTCTTCCTAAAAGTCTTTTCTTTTCATAATTAACTCTGTTTCCAGTCTTGATATTGTCCTGTTACCTTTAAAATACAATAATACTTATGGATTTTTCTGGTTATAAACAGTGTATACACATTGTATAGTATTTGGGAACTGTAGCCAAGGACAGAGAAAATAAAATCACTCACAGTTTAACTGCGAGTGATTAACTGCAAGTTAACAGTAAACATTTTGACGTTTCCATTTGATTTTTATTTATGTGCATGCTTTTTTAACATTCAGATCACACTCTGAATACAATATTGTCGATAATGAGCCTCTTTCCATGTCGATACACTGCTTTGTACATATTGTTTTCAATGGCCTTATATCGGCTGTCTGGTGGGTGAGCCATGCTTCATATAACCACTGCAGGTGGCCCAGTGCGGGGACTCTTCATTAAGGTGACTTGAAAATGAGGAGGCACCAAGATGTTTACTGGTCTCCGGATTTGTTAAGGAACAGGTCTCTGAAGCTATGGAGGCCTGCTGTAAACTCTTACAGGCAACCTGCCTGCCTGGCTCAGGCGACACATTCTTTTCTCATTTTCTTATACTCGCCTCAGTTTTCTTTCTTTTTTTTTTTTTTTTTTTTTTTTTTGTTTTTTTTTTTTTTTTGTTTTTTTTCGCCTCAGTTTTCAAAACAGACTTTGCAATGGAACGTGGTGACCTTTTGCTTTGAGAGCTAGGGAGTGGTGGGTTTGATAGCCACAAAGAGGGCTGGGGATGTGGACACTTGAGAGAAGTGTCCTGGGACAGTCCCAGCGTTAAAGACGCCACACGTGCTGCTTGGTGCTCCTCTCATTCCTAAGCACACAGGCGCCCAGCATTGAGCTTCTCTACCCCGGGGCTGCCACGGAGCCAGAGCTGAGCCTACAGGGCCCAGAGAGGGCATGGATTTCTTGAGATTGCTTGCAGCGACCTGAGCCAGGCGGGGGGCAGCCTGAGTGCCATCCTGGGTGGAGACAGGCTTGTACAGGCTGTTTCTGTAGAGTGGCCACAGGAGGACAGTTGAGGCTGGCTTGGCAGATGCGGGCCTGAGGTGGGTGTGTAGCCCCCTGCCTTTGTAGGCTGAGGCCCAAGGCGGGTGAGGGTGGAGGAGGCTGCTGGGGTAGGAAGTGTCTGGAAGGGAGAGATCGGAAGAGCTTCAGCTGAGTAGGTGTTTAATCAGTGCTTGGCTAGATGGACAGGTGAGCGAGGGAAAGAGGAGGTTTGCTGGTTGGGAGACGGGGAGGGCCTTTGTCAGATTACCCTCGTGTTTGGCTCAGAGTGGGCAAGGTTTCCATTTTTATCTTGCCTACATCCTGTCAAATTAACCTCTGTGTAGCAGTGTTCTTTCAGTGAATACTGTGCTAATTAATTGTTAAGTAATTCCCTGTGCCCCCATTATGATGAAAGAAGAAAATGACGATTTTATTATTTTTCAGGTAAAACTTGAAGCTTCGTCTGTTTGCTTTTGCACTGTGCACCGTGATGAACCTCAGCATAAAATATTGGTCTTGGTTAACCCCCAGGACACAAAGACAGGTTGGTAGTTATTAATGGATTTAAAAAACAGAGATTCTGATTTAATCGTTTACAACTAATGGAATCAAAGAGCGAGGAAATGATGATTGTACTCTTAGACTGGACTTAGAAGAACATCAAGGCAGAATGATTTATTTTCAGCTTTTAGAGATCCAGTAGTGCATTATTATTTCTGTTCATTGACACACAGATCGATTTTTGTGTTAAAGACACTAGACACCCTCTTGCCCACAGTGATGGTATTCAGAGCTGCTTTTGAGGGTAGCCCTTGCCGTTCCTATTAATCCATGTATAGGTTGCGTGCACTCGGTGGAGCCCTTTTATTGGCATGTCACTGCTGCCCTGTGAAGCACAGGGCCCATTCTTATCCCCTGAGGAGAGATGAGGAAATGAGTCCTCTCGTCAAATAACTTGCCCAGGGCCACCCAGCTCATGCATGGTGGGTGGTTCTTGCAAGGTGGTGGTGGGGTGGGGTTTTGTTTCTGGCGGTGAAGTTTATGTCGTCTGTAGCTCATTTATTCTTCCTCTGCATTGTGAAGAGACCATTTGTGACTGCTGTCAGCTCCTCGGAGTGAGCTCTCTGCAGAGGCATGGCCCTGCTCAGTTTCATGTGGGGCAGGGGTCTGGGGCTGTTGGCAGTGGGGGCGTGAGGTGGGGAGGAGAGAAGGGTTGCAGCCTCTCCGTCCACCTTGACCCCAGGGCACCAGTGAGCTGTAAGCAAAGCACCTCATCTTTGACCTCCAGGGAGCCCCAACTTAAATTTAATCTTATTTAGAAATGTTATCCTTTATTATACTTTTTTGTGTTTTACAGATTTCCTACAATGACCATGTATAGCTTTGCTAATAAGAAATTAAAAAAAAAACAAACCAACCCTTAATTAGTCAGCCCTCCGTAAACGATGTGGTATCTGTGAAAGTTTGGGGTTATAGGTCTTTAACTACAGTTTGCAAAGGGGGCCACCTTCTGCTCTCCTCCGCCCCGGATGTAGACATTAGTCTTTCACCGAGCGTGTCTGTGTGGGGTTTGTACTCAGAGGCTGCCCTGCTCCATTGGTGTCATAAAACCCAAGGTGACATCCTCGACTGGGGAAAGTTATTCAGCACATAGCCTGTCGTTAGTGTCTCTCTTGCTGCTAATCCGGAGGCACAAGTGAGCTTGGCTAGCTGTCCGAGAGTCGATGGCATGTGGGCAGAGCCTCCTCCTTGCTCCGCGGCTGGGGTGGCTGAGCTGTGTGGGAGAGCTTTCTGGTCAAGGTTCAGGACATCTCCTGTTTCCACCCTGCAAAGCCCTGGTCACCATGAACGAAGGGGCCGTGGTAACCCCAGGCCTTTGACATTGCCTTGAATTTGTGTCTCCACCACCAGATTAGTGAAAGTAACAAGATGTGCCCAAGCCACTCCTCTGTGGACAGATTGTCAAAAACTCTAAAGATATCATTTGCCGATTTTAAGAAAATGTCCAAATATCAGTAGCCCTCCCCCTTGCCTTTTTTCGGCATTTAACAATATTCTGGTTATAGGTCTTTAACTACAATTTGCATAAGGTAAACATATGATTGACTCTTGTCAATCTGTTTCCTGTTCATACTATACTTAATTTTTTGGTTGTTTTCAAGAATATATTATAATAAATATTCATAAGCTCCAAGGCATCTCATTCCAGACCTTTTCTTATATATAATAGTGCTTTAAATAAAGTTTCCAAATGTTTTTCTGCTGCTGGGGCTCTATTGTGGTTGCTGCGATTTCGCATGATTTCCAAGAAGCACTCAGGTGTTACCCACACCTCTTGCTCTTTGATCTGGTATTAGAAGCAGACACGATGTATAAATGCGCCTCTTGTGGCTTGAAACATGTGGACTCGGAAGCAGCCCATGGTATCATGGACCCTCTTTGCAGCTTTGACACGTGTCACTTCACCTGTGTGCTTAGCTGTGCCCATTGAGAACGCTGCCGCTGGTTCCTTTGTAATTGTCCTCGAGCAGTTGTATTTGTGAAGGCCGTGTGTGTTTGTGTGTGTGTGTTTAGATGGAAGCTAAAGGGATCAGAAGCTGTTTGATAAGCCCTGTGTATGAGTTAATTATTGAAAAGCTGGTTGAATCCATTACAGTAACTTCCGATAACCCAGTGAAGAAGTGGAAAGCATCCTGGAGTTGTGAATTCCCCGGTGGCTTGCAGTTGCCGTGCACGGCAGCCTGCTGTTAGGATGTAAGTAATGAAGCTTTCCCCTTTAAGAAACTGGGAATGCACTTTTCATAGCGGTGGATCCAAAAGCATGTGCCCTCATCCGTGTGTTCCCTGCGGGGCCCATTCTTCACTGTTTCTCTAATCAGAGGCTGGCTTATGTCACCGAGGGGACATGGCTGGAGGCTGCCAAGAACCTCCCTCCCTTAGTTGCCCCTCTGCCTCCCAGGGGCCTTATCTTTCATTTATTTCCCCTTATTTGTTATTTCATTTATTTCCCCTTGTTTTGCTATTCTTCTTATTTTTAAATTATTAACTGGTCTAAAGGGTTTACAAAGATTAAAAAATAATGCTTCTCACCAAAAAAGTTGTGGTATTTTTCTTATCTCCTGTATTAAATCAAAACTGCTTACCCTAGCATTCCAGGTTCCCCTCTACTGCTGGCCTTTTGCGTTTCTCATTTCCTCCTGTCACCTGCGGAGTAGGATAGGATGAACCTGGACTTTGGTGTCAGGTGCAACTGACTTGGCGTCCTGACTCTGCCAACTGACTGGGTGACCCAGATAAGTTCTGTAGCCTCTCTGAGCATCAGTTTGGTCATTTGGAAAAGCGGGGATGTCTTACCTACATCGCAGGGTTGTTGTGAGAATGAAATGATTTGTGGCAGACAATCTGATGCCTTGGACCATCCAGGGCAGAGTGTAGCCTGGATTTAGCAGTATTCTTCCATCATGGTGCACCTTCGCTTGTCCTTCCACTGCCTTTGAGTGTTGTGTTATATAGAAGCACAGGATTTTGGAGTGGGAGGCCGCCTTGTTAACTGCTGGCCAAACTTCAGCAGCTGAATTACCTCCTTGTAAGAAAGTTGTTCCTCTGCTAATCCAAAACTGCCTGGTTGGATAAATGTCGTGCAGTCTATCCAAAAGCAGCAGTGATCAAGGGTGGGCCCGGGAGGATGTGCCTCTATACCGCCTAGGTGAAAGGATCCAGATGACAGTTCTCATCCTCGGAAAGTGCAGTGAGCCCCGGCATTGAAGTGGGCTGCTGGAGAGTGGGTGTGACCTGTGTTAATGGAAGGAGAGTGGGGCTGTGTTAATGGAAGGGTGATGCTACAGCTCAGTTCTCTTTGGTGCTGCTGAGGCCGTGTCTGAATCACACTGGTGCTATCCATGGAGAGTAACTGGGCGATGAGAGGGCTTGAGACCATTTGAGCACGGCTTGAGCTGTTGAATTTTAGAGGGGGAGTGGGAGATGCAGGGCTCCAGAAGCTCGTGGTTGAAAGGGTGTTTAGATCATTAGGTCTGGTGTTTTTCAGGATGATTTTAGGTGGTGCGGTTGAATTTCAGGAGAAAAAGGATGATCTTTTGAATTTTATTTCAATCCTAAATATATCAAGGGAAAAGTGTCTGTTTCCTGCTAATTTGCCTTTAATGCCTCTCTACCATAACGTTAACATTTGTTAATACCCCTCCTTTTTAAAAAGAGAATAGGTCTCCCAGCTTCTAGCACCCTTTGCTAGAATTCAAAGATTTGTCTTTGTAAGATTTATTTTTATAATTATAGTAAATGATGCCTCATTTATGGTAGGGCTAATAAGGTGGTGTACAGATATGTCAAAATCACAAAGGGGTGTTTGGGAGGCGCTGGCTTCTAGTCTGGGGCCTCTCCATCCTGGGAGGGCCTGTTCTGTTCTGAGGCAGCTCTGACTGTTAGAACATGCTTGGTAAGGAGCCCACACTGATAGGCCCGTAAGTCTCCTCATTGGCCTAGTGCCCACACTGGGGCCATCTAGGTAGGTGGGCAAGGCTCCTCCACAGGACAGCCCTTCCCAGGTTTGGGCCCAGCTGCCATATCTCCTGAGTTGTCTTTTTATTTTTATTTTATTTTATATTAATTTATTTTATTGAGGTCATAATGGTTTATAACATGGTATAATTTCAGGTATACATTATTATATATCAGTTTCTGTATAGACTACATTGTGCTCACCACCAGTAGTCTAGTTTTTATCTGTCACCGTGCATCTGTGCCCCTTTATCCCTTTCACCCAACCCCTACCCCCTTCCCCTCTGGTAACCACTGATCTGTTCTCTTTATCCATGTGTTTGTTTATCTTCCACATATCAGTGAAATCATACAGTGTTTGTCTATGTCTGGCTTATTTCGCTTGACATGATACCCTCAAGGTCTGTCCATGTTGTTGCAAACGGGACGATTTTGTCTTTTTTTATGGCTGAGTAGTAGTCCATTGTATGTATATGCCATGTCTTCTTTATGCATTCATCAGTTGATGGGCACTTGAGTTGCTTCCACTTGGCTGTTGGGGTGCTTAGATCTCTTTGTATTGTTGATTTAATGTTCTTCGGATGAATACTCAGTAGTGGCATAGCTGGATCGTATGGTATTTCTATTTTTAATTTTTTGAGAAATCTCCGTACTGTTTTCTATAGTGGCTGCACCAGTTTGTATTCCCACCAGCGGTGTGTGAGGGTTCCCATTTCTCCACATCCTCTCCAACACTTATTATTTCTTGTCTTGTTAACTACAGCCATTCTCATGGGTGTGAGGGGATATCTCATTGTAGTTTTGATTTGCATTTCCCTAATAATTAGTGATGTTGAACATCTTTTCATGTGCCTGTTGGCCATCTGTATATCTTCTTTGAAAAAATATCTGTTCATATCCTCTGCCCATTTTTTGATCAGGTTGTCTTTTTGTTGTTGAGCTGTATGAGTTCTTTATATTTTCTGGAAATGAACCGCTTGTCAGGTATATGGTTTGCACATGTTTTCTCCTGGTTAGTGGGTTATGTTT